AAATGTAAAAAAATTCTATTGTATAACTATTAGTAAGATCTTCCATAGATTCAATATAACGTCGAAGAATATGATGTTTTTTTTGACATATAATTTCAAATTTACCATAATTTGGTTGTATAGGATTAAGAGATTTTAAAGTTAAATATAAAGGAGTTTGTTTATTGTTTGATGATATTCGAGGATAATTGACTTGTAATTTCCATTTTTTAGTTGTAAGAGCATCAGTTATTTTAGAATGAGTAAATTGAAAACGATCCGAAAGTAGACGACGATTATTACCGACTAAAAGAAATTCATAAGACATGTTCGAAAAGTTCTTATATTTAGCAAAAGGAAACTCTTTGCAACTTTAGCAGATTATTGTATGTACTTAGTAGTAAATAATTACAATGTTTCAGCTCTTTAAGAGACGGTCCATGAGTGAATCGAGCATTTAGTAGTAGGGCGTCATACGAAAAATGTTGACCTACCTTTTTGTCCATCCCAAACGAAAGAGCATGTAAAGAAACCTACAAATCCAAAGTTTTAGCCTTGTGTGAATGAGCCTTCAATGGATTTGTGGCAAACATTGAAAGTGTTTCTATAAAGTTCTAGAATAATGATGATACTTTTTTGGTTTACAGTATATCATTATACTTTTTCCTAAAATTTAATCAAATCAAATTGAATCATACCTCAAAAGATAGAGCAAGTTGCGCTCTACAAAACTGTATATTAAAATTTTCCTTAAATAATTTCTAATCACATAAATGAGGGATCAATATATAAAAAATGCCTAAAAAATGTTCAAAATTTGATGGTGTTTTTTAGTGTTTCGATGAAAAAAAAATATCGAAAGAGATTTGGACCGAAAATATTTTCTTATGGATTCGATAGAGCGAACAAAACTGCACAAGATGCACACAAAGAAGTATCCAAAAAACATGCGCATAGTACTTTAATTTGGTCGAAAAGATAAAATAACATTACTGTTATATAACACTTTTTTATAGTATTTTCGAAATTTGCCAATCAAACGACAATATAATTAAGGTTTTTTTGAAGCTGAAGACTAAGTGATATAAGGCTTCTAAACTGAATTTGTCATGATAGTTAGATGGTCGACTCAATAGAATATTATATGTGAAGACGATTCCCTTTATACTTCCTATACATCTACTCTAGGGAATATTCAATACTATATAATATCATTGATACTAAATATTTCGATCGTATTTTATGTTATTTCATAAAAAAAACACTGTTGTTTCTATCTGTTTTGGTGAGTACGTGTTGGATTGAATTAGAAAAGCTTTGTATTGTTTTTCTTTCTGACTGTGAGACGCATGATATTATTATCTGGCACTCGATTCTTTTATTCTCTTCTTCTTCAGCATCGTATCATACATTTGTGCACTCATTTTTCGTTTGGTTATTTTTTTATAAAAGCAACCATACGCAATACAATGTCGTCGATAAATCAATGTTTTTTTTAAGAAAGATGGATTCTGCAGCGATACATTTATAAGTTTTCATGAGCTACAACATGAACGTTTCTCTAGTAGAGTTTTTCCTGGTGCTCGATCATGTATCGAGATTATGTTGCTACGAAGCGATCTTTTTTACCAGCCAGCGCTTCATCTACGTAAAACTAGAGTTTGTACGAAACATAAGGATGATTTACTCAAGGAGTTTCGACAATCTAAGTATCGTACATGTTCTGTATGCACACCATGCTTTGGAAAATCAATACCCAGCATTGCTGCGCAAAATATAGCCGCGCCTATAGCACTCACCTTATATGAACAACTAAACTTCCAGCATTCTTACGGAAAGCTAATATGTCGCCGGTGCCACGAAGAAGTCGCAAAACGTACCGATTTGGTGAGACAGATGTTCTTTTTATGTAACATTTTTGACAGTATATTATTCTGATAGACTAAAGTCAATGAACATCAGTCTGCCATTAGTTGGCTAGAAATTATTTCTTGGAGTAATGAAGAATCGGATGACAGTATTGATGACCCTGACTTCCATATCTCTCCAATTTCTGGCACACCATCATCGTCTATTCATAGTGGTATTAACGAAAAGAGCAAACGAGCTGCACTGAATAATTTTATTCAACTTATGCGACCAGATTGCTCTGCTCGGCCATTATTAGTTACTCGTTCATATAATCAGCTTCGTAAAGGCTCAAAGAAAAATTTTCTATCGTCAACACAATTTGTTGTTGATCTCTTACTGGAATTTCTCTCTGGAAGCGATGCGAATCAAGTTCATCGACAATTATTTTTAAAAGAAAGCAGTAAGTTGATTTCATAAGTAACCTGTAGTCGTAATAACAATGAATATTTGGTTTGCATTATAGAGAGAAGCAACATCGTAATGGATCCGAAATTAATGAATATTTTGACAACTATTGCAGAATCCTACAACAATGCCGATAGTTCTATTGGTCGTCGAATAATTCTATCTATTGTAGCAAAACAAATGGACTATAATCTTATTTCATCAGTTATTCCTGGATTGATGAGATATAGATATACAGCGGCTCGTCTGTATGCAGAAGAGTATGGTAAAGGCATGATAAAAGTACC